TAAACTAATTGAGTATTTGAGTATTTTTTTTTGAGTATTTGAGTATTGTTTATTTTGTATTGCACCCCCTCCTTAATGTTTGTAAGCCGCCCTGAGTCCCCTCAGGGAAAAGGGCGGCCTATAAATCTTAATAAAATACTCAAATACTCAAAAAAAAATACTCAAATACTCAATTAGTTTACACTATTGCCATTTATTCTACCTCTTTAAACCTTTCTGCCCTTCAAACCATCATTACTTCAAGTCCCTCTGGGAATAGGGCGGCATAAAAATGCAATAAATTAAATCAAATTAAATCAAATTATGTTCATACACTGCCTTTCATACAAAACACTTTAAAAGTTCCATCTTTCTCTTTTTGAGGATTTCAGTAATTCCAATTTACTCATGTTTGACTTTTCTTTTAACCCATCGTTATTTTGTGGCTCTATACTAATTCATTCTTTCTATATATGTAAATTACCTAAACTTACTTTTTTATATTTGTCAGTCATTTTTATATTTAATCACCTCTAGTACCTCACAAATTTTTTGTTGATCCCATCTCTTCTTGTTGTCATATTTTAATGCATTTCTATTACGTTTAAGTTATTTTTATGTTTCTCTTGACCTACTAAACTTTAGTACCTCTAATTTAGAGACTTCCAAGCCAATATATTGTTGTTTATAGCTGATTAATTACCACATGTATACTGAGAGACACTCAGGATGTTTAGAGGTTGGATGAACTCTGTCTCTAAGAAGAAATTAGGGGCAAAATATTGTGACCATGAGCCCAACTGAGTTCTGAAGCAGGAATGAGCCAGACCTGTTCCTATTTGCTGCCTCATCATCTTGACTTGCATTTCTTTTTCTGATTGTTTTTAGTGGACAAGCAAATACACCCTGGACAGAGCTACCCATACATGTTAATATGCCTGCAGATAGCAATAGGAAAAGGCTGAAAAACTCTGGTGTCCTTGACATAGGAATGAAATCTCATTGGTTTATTCAGTATACAATTATAGAGTGTTTTCCAATGTTAAGTACATTCTGCTTAGGGCCATAAGCCTTTATATTTTACTCCTAAACCAAATAAGTTTTCAATGTCCTCACAGAAACGTAGGGGAAGCAGAGTTCCTGTGCTTAATGAATACACAGCATTTCATATATCATAATCACACACAAACACACACATAAAAATATGCTAGACTCATTTGCATTGTTGCAAAAATTATTCCGAACTACTTCTTCCCTGAAAAAAACAAACCTGTTTCAGGACTAAAATCCTTTCCCCAAAATGCAGAAATAAACATTTCTGAGTTTGAGCATTAACAATAGAGGAATCTTTTTGTATCAACAACATTGACAGAATACTTGTTTAATATAGACACAAGCTAATGAGAACCCATTCTCAAAGTTAATTTTTATATAAAAATATATATTAGAAAACAAAAAGGAATTATGAAGAAATTATAATTATATAAGCAGCTGGTAACATTAATTGGTAGTATAAATATTTTTTTAAAAAGAAATAATGAATATGAATCCCACTGAAATCAGCAAGATTTCAGTTGCGTATTGGCAAGCTTCATTAATTACACTGAAACTTTATTGGATGAGAATTACACTGATCAAGATCTATCAATTTAATCTATATTTTACATGTACATTACATTTTAAATGCATTACAGCATCTGTGAATTAATTTGATTGGTATTTTTAAAAAACATTTTCTTGATTCAGAAAATATGTACTGAATATAATGTTAAAGAACTTTAAGGACTGGTAGGATCTAGCAAGAGAGCATTCTCTGCTATTGGAATATTCTTCCCCTGGAGGTGAAGCAGACAGCCCCCCCCCCCCATATCCTAATTTTCTGAAAAGCAGTTAAAACATGGCTTGGTGGCCTAGCATGAGAAGCTCAGAGAAGCACACAGCTATGGGGTTGGTTCAGTGTGGGTTTCAATTTTTTTTTATTACTGGTTCTGTGGGCATGGCTTATTTTATAGGCATGGCTTGGCGGTCATATGACCAGGTAGGAGTGGTTTGGTGGTCATGTGACCTGGTGGACGTGACCAATTTAGCCATCCATTTTGCCAATTTAGCAGTCAATTAAACAATACACAGCAGCCCCCTTTTCTATTCTTTTTAATACTGCATTAAGTTTTTGCTTTAGGTTTTTTTTTTCTAAGGGGGAGAGGTTGGCAAAGCCTGGGGATTGCTGGGAATTTCTCCTGTGTCAGGTTCCGAAAGGTTAATGAAAACAGCCAAACACAGAAATGGTTTGTAAATGCAGTTTGTATTCTTCCTCCGGCACGAACTGACCAACAAAGCACTATGGCAATGAAGAAAAGAGCTGCCACCTGATGCTCCCCACCACCTTTTATAGTTACTTGGTAATTAGGATAAACTGTACCCCACGCGTGTGCACACCCATCCCCTTGTGAGCCAGAACGAAAACCACCCAGCAATTAATCATGGATTGTTTTCCGTCAGTTATCAATAGCTTTGTAGATTACTCAGCTGGAGGGAAACTTGGTGAGTCTTGGCAGCTGGCCCAGTTTTCTCCCCTGAATGGCAGCTCCAGGCCTCTGGGCTGGCCGGATCTAACATGCGGCCCCCTACCATGGAGACAGCATTTGGGGAGCTAAAAATTACAGTCAGTTAGTCAAAGGACCCCTTCCCCCTGGTTTGTGGGATGTCTGCAGTAGAATCTCGCTACCAGGTGGGGAGCCCTACAGTTCTTGCTATGAACCCATGATGCCTCTGACAGGGGATAACCTTTCCATAAAACAAGGTATTGTAACCATCCCCTGTGCCACCTGGTATCTAGTACATCTTGCACTACATAGTGCTGTTCCCCATCTACAGTAACCGGGGCTGGCGGCCGTAGCGGGTCTCCTCTGACACTCTGTGTTAGACGCACCAAAAAACCAAGATGATATAAGGTCTCCTGCTGGAGCAGGGGGTTGGACTAGTTGACCTCTGAGGTCCCTTCCAGCCCTGGATTGCTGTGCTGTTTCAAAAGATCCTCTAAAGCTGCATCTATTGCCAGGTTTGTAGTCCTTCCTTCCTCTCCTTTTTCTTTCCCTCCCTCTCTCTATCCATTCATCCATCCATCTCATTCACTTTCCCTTCCTTCTTTCTCCCTCCCTCCCTCTTTCTTTCTCCCTTCCCTCCCTTTCTTTCTCCTCTCCCTCCCACTTTTTCTTTATTTCTTCCTTCCCTTCCTTTTCTCCCTTCCATCCCACTTTTTCTTTCTTTCTCCCTTCCCTCCCTTCTTTCTTTCTCCCTCCCTCTTTATTTCTCCCATCCTCCTTTCTTTCTCCCTTCCCTCCCCCTTTCTTTCTTTCTTCATTCTTTCTTTCTTTCTTTCTTTCTTTCTTTCTTTCTTTCTTTCTTTCTTCTTTCTTTCTCTCTCTCTCTCTCTCACTTCCTTCTTTCTTTCTTTTTGCTTCCAGGGGGCTGTTGGGAGGATTGCTAGACACCTCTGTGCCGTTTTGGGCCTAGCAGGCCTCCCTGAAGCCCCCTGGGAGCCATAATGGAACTTGTGGGGATTCCTGTAAGGGGCAGGGGAAGGTAAGGTTATGAGCCCGGGGTGTGGTGCAGCAAGCTCCGGGGGGGAGGGGGGGGAGGCTAGCACAACTTACCTGTGGGCAGGAGGAGGCAATTCAGTTGGGGCGCATGGCAGGCACCACGTGGGAACTGGGAAGGCAGCTTAGGCAGGCAAACCACCTGGGAGATGAGGAGTGATTGGGTGGGGTGGGTGGGCGGGGCGAGTGACTGGGGACCGGTTGTGGGGCATGGCCAGCCTGCTGCCAATACCGGTTCTGCGACCCAGGCCCAATTTCCATTACCAGTTCTCCTGAACTGGTGTGAACTGGTAGGAACCCACCTCTGGGCTGGTTAGTCTCTGAAACACCTTTTAACTAATTTTAATATGTCACCTCTTAATTTTTTAACTTTTAAATATACTGTTTTATATTTTAACATTTTATTGTATGCTGCGCAGAGTCCCTATCTGAGGGATAAATGTGAAAAATAAATACATAAATAATAAATTAAAAATGTAACATTAATCTTTGTTGTGATAATTTTTTTGAATAAAAATACTGAGCAGACACTCGAAACAGTATTTCTTTCAAGATGTATGAAAATTATGTTAAGTAATTAAAGTTAATTATGGTTATTAACATATAAGGCGATGGATGACAGCATAACAGAAATTGAGTGCTTTTCATAAAGTATTTAAAATTTGTGTTACCTTTTGTAAGACATCTAAAGCCGTAAGTACAGCTTCTTGCAAACTTGTTAGAACTGCCTCAGTATATGATGGTAAGATGAAAGGAGATGCATCAGAACTGATTGGAACAGAGATTGCACCATGTAGAATGACGCCTAGTTTTTGGAGATCATCCATACTGAAACCTGTTTTAATGTGTTGATAAAGGGCTGGAAATATCTGTATTAAAGCTGTAAGAAAAGGCTGGCTGGGAATAAAAGTCATTTTATCAAAAGAAAGTGGGGGCTTTGTACTTTCTGAACCAATTCGAAACCAACTGTTCCATGCAGCCCACCAAAGATCCAAGTCTTCAATTTCATCAGTTATCATAGGGGGCTCAATTGCACTACATTTTCCAATTCTTTCTCCTAGAGAATCAGTTCTCATAAAAGATCTTCCAAGGCCAGTGGCAGTCATTGAGCCGATGAGGACAGGCACAGGAACATTAATAGCAGGTGGTGTATCAGGTTTTTCAGTTTCTCTAACTGGAGATACAATTTGTAAGATTTCCTGAAAGCTTTTCAAAGCAGCCAAAGAAACCTCATTGTTTTTGCTGAGTGCAGCTGATTGAATGTGATCAAGAAGAATATCCCAAGCTTCAGAAAAATCTCCTATTAGGGAAAAAGAAAGCTCAGTAAGATATTACTATGATATATATTAAAAATAGCTCACTGGTTAGAGAAAAATTGAGTTGTTATAAAGTATGCAAAGTAAGATACATTACACTACTCTCCAAGGAGGTGTGAAATTTCACTAGCCACTCTACCTCCATGGACACCATCCCAAATCAACTGCCCAATCCACTATTAAACAATACAATTCAAATTTTATTTCAGGAGAAGTCCTCTGTCAATTAAAGCTTAATTTATATTATTTGTGTCATTTTACCACATTTGTATCATTACATAACAGTGTGTGATATAAATTTACAGATAGCCCTTGCTTAACGACTACTTGTTCAGCAACCATACAAATTTATGCTGGTGCTGAATGAATTGTTCTTTATTAGTTCTCATGATTATGATCAAGATCCAGATACTTGGTGACTACCTTACAACACTGCAGTATCTTGCAATCCCGATTGCCATTTACTCCCTTTATTACTATCTTCCTACAAGCAAAGTTAATGGGGAAACTGGTAGGAGTTTGCAGATTATAATCACATGACACTGCCCTTAATGCAATGGGATTGTTTGACAAGAGCAAGAACTTCCATCATTAAGTGGTTGATTACGTGAAATTGCACTTTACAACCATGTCACCTAGCATCAGACATTCAGTCCTAATTACCTTTGTTAAGTGAAGACTACCTGTAGATAAACTATGAAAATGTAAAGGAATCATATGAACTAATTCAAAAACAGTGGACTCTGGTACCTTGGGATGCTGTTTTGATATAAAGTTTTTGGTTGCACTTGAAATTCATTAAATTCAGATCCAATTAACAATAAGGAAACAGAGATTTTTGTCATAAAAGGAAATTACTTTTCAATTAATGCAGAATCAGCAAGAAAATCTTATGACATAATGAAGTAAATAAATTAACCAAATTTGTATTAAAAATAAGAATTATAAATATAATCAAGATGAAAATTAAATTTCTTATTCATGCAAAATACATCTGCAGAACTAAAATGTCTATATAAAAACCCTGTCTTGAACATAAATAAGAATCCACTGTACCTAAGGACTGCAACAAATACCGCCTCGTGTTGAATATTCTAGCTACTCCAGCCAATGTTAGTACCCATGTCTCAGCCCACTGTTTCTCTGCTGTATCTCGTGAATGGTGAATGAGAATGTTACCACCACCAGATTCAATCTTCTCTTTATCAGCAGTTGTAGAAGATTCCCGCACTCTATCCAGCAAATGAAAGAGAACCTACAAAACATTTAAGATCTTTAAACTAATATCTAATTAATAAATACAAATATCAGCAAATGTCTTTTCTGTGAATAATTTGTAATTGGTATTTTATTTTATTTTACTTCAAATCAGTTTTGACTTCTCTCTGAACTAGTCCCTGCAATTTTTTGGGCAAGATTTGCAGAAAAGATTTTCCATTTTTCTTCCTAGGGCTGAGAAAGAAGGACTGGCCCAAGATTACCCAGTTAGCTTCATGCCTAAGACAGGCTCACCATGTCACAATTTCTAGCCTGATGTATTAACCACTTCACTAAACTGTCTCTCATTTTAATTTTACTGCAATATAATTTCAAGTTAAGTTACCACCTTTGATACAGATTTAAATGTTTCAACAAAGCTAGCTTCTTTAAGCACTTTTCCTTTGAAATGAAGTAGAATTTCAAAACATTAATTATAATAAAACAGCTGTTGCTTATACTGTAATAAAGAATTAGAATTATATTAGGCCACTTTCTAATTTCACTGAATTCTAAAAACATGCTCAAGTGAGAATATTGATTCTATTAACTAGGGACTCAAAACTCAAAATTGACTTAGATAAAAAAAGAGAAAGAAAAGAAAAAAAAAAGAAAAAAGTGAAGAGGACATTGTATGAGAGAACATTATCTGAATGAGAGGACAGCAATCAGTGATTTTTGCCATCTCTCTAGTTCAGCTACATGGTTTGCTTAATTGCTATGTTTCTCAGCAACAATTTTGCTAGAACCAATTGCAGTCCCTAAATAATATATATTATTGGTTTCCATAAACAGTATTTAATTGCAATCCAATACAGTAATTTGATGATGAGCAAGAAACAGTCCACATAGTTTTCTTTGACTTTTCCAAGCAAAAACTTCAATTTTCAAGAAGCAAGTAGTTGACTTTTCAACAGTATGACTCAATCTTCTAATTCTATAAACTATATTAGATTTTTTACCTGTTGATAGAAATAACTAATCTCACTTTTTAGCAAATTATACCCATATTTTTCATATATGTAAGAAAAACTTTTTGGCGTGTCAGAGCATTCCTCTCATAATTTACAGTTTCTAACTTAGGTGGGATGCAAAAAGAGAACATAATAAATACAGCTGAAAAAAAAAGTGAAGTATTACAGCATCTTTATTTATATGTAATAATCAGTACATTCAGAAAGTAATAAGATCCCCTTGACTTTTGTAAATTTTGTTATGCAGTCTGATTCTACAGTTGTTGAAATTAATTTTTTCTCATTAATCTATATTCAGTACCTCACAATGACAAAGTAAAAGAAGAATTTTAAAAATGTCTGTAAATTTATTAAAAAGAAAAAACTGAAATATCAAATTATCATAAGTATTCAGACCCTTCACTCAGAACTTTGCTGAAGCACTTTTGGTGGCAGTGACAGCCTCCAATCTTCTTGGGGATGATGTGACAAGCTTTGCACACTTGGATTGGGGGATTTTCTGTCATTCTTTCTTGCAAATCCTCTCCAGCTCAGTCAGGTTGGATGGTGACCATCAGTGGATAGTCATTTTCAGTTCTCTCCAGAGATGTTCAATAGGGTTCAAATCAGGGCTCTGGCTGGGCCACTCTAGGACATTCACAGGTTGTCCATAAGCCACTCCTGTGTTACCTTGTCTGTGTGCTTAGGATCACTGTCATGTTGGCAAGTGAACCTTTCGCCCAGTCTGAGGTCCTGAGTGCTAGGGAATACATTTTCATTGAACATATCCCCGTACTTTGCTCCATTCAGCTTTCTCTCAATCCTGGCCAGTCTCCCAGTCCCTGTTGCTGAAAAACACCCCCAGAGCATGATGCTGCCACCACCATGCTTCATTGTAGGAATGAAGATGGGCAGGTGATAAGCGATGCCTGGTTTCCTCCAGACATAACTTTTACAATTGAGGCCAAACAGTCTTGGTTTCATCAGACCAGAGAATCTTGTTCCTCACAGTCTGAGAGTTCTTCAGGAGCTTTTTTGCAAACTCCAAGCAGGCTTTCATGTGTTTTGCACTGAAGAGAGGCTTCCGTATAGCCATTCTGCCATAAAGCCTAGAGCTGTGGAGGACTGCAGTGATGGTTGTACTTCTGGAACTCTGCCCCATCTCCACACAGAATCTCTGGAACTCAGTCAGTGTGACCATCAGGTTCTTGGTCACTTTACTAAAACCCTTCTCCTCCGATTGCTCAGTTTGACCAGGCAATCATATCTTGAAACAGTCCTGATTGTGCCAAATTTCTTCCATTTGAGAAATATAGAGGCCACTGTGCTCTTAGAAACTTTCAGTGCAGCAGAAATTTGATTGTATTGTTCCCTAGATCTGTACCTTGCAATAATCCTGTCTCCGAGGTCGCAGGCAGTTCATTTGACCTCATGGCTTTTGCTCTGTTACAGTATGCATTGCCAGCTGTGAAGCCTTCTACAAAGAGGTATGTGCCTTTCAAATCATGTCCAATCAATTTAATTTACCACAGGTCAACTCTAATCAAGGTATAGAAACATGTTAGCAATGATCAAGAGAAATGGGAGGCACCAGAGCTAAATTACAAGTTTTGTTGCAAAGGATCTGAATACTTATGCCAATGTGATATTTCAGTTTATTTTTTAATAAATTTACAGATATTTCTAAAATTCTGTTTTCACTTTGTCATTATAGAGTACTGAGTGTAGATTAATGAGAAAAAATGAATTGAAACAACTGTAGAATCAGGCTGCAGCATAACAAAATTGACAAAAGTGATGGGGGTCTGAATACTTTCTGAATGCATGTATATGATAAATCATTACAAAATACATGTTGCAAATACAGTCAAATGTAATTCACAGGCTTGGAAAGATTGGTGAGAGAAAAAAATTGGTACATGTCCAAATGTGCATCTTAAAATCTAATAAAAAGGATATGTTTGTCTTATATTTATATAAAAAACAACTGGGATCAAGCATATTGTAAGAACAATATTATTACATATAAACATCAGTACCTTCCATATAACTGTATGCCATGTTGAATGCTGAAGTAAAGTTCCATGAGCACCAATTGTAGAGAATAGAGTCTGTCCGGCACTTTTTCTAACTGCAGGGCGTGGATCTACACAGAGTTCCCCGAGCTTGGCATATAGGCAAAGCCAGAGGCAATCGAATGGTGGTGCCGGATGGAAGGGACGATTCAATGTTATCCCGTTTTCTTTTGCTTGCTTCTGTAACACTGATTCTTCCTTGTTTAATTCCTTTTCAATAATTTCACTTCTTTGGAAGAAATAGTCTGAAATATTCCACTAGAAAGCAAAAAATATTTCTTTGTAAATGACTTTTGAACACAAAGAAGAATGATAATCCTGCACTGGAAATGTAACCCCCCCCCAATGAAAATGCACAATATATATTTTATAAATTATAAACAAATTGTTCTGAACATTTAGCTATGCTGTACCTTGATATTATTTTTAGGCACCAGTTATGATGGATTAATGCATGTAGGCATTTTGAGGAACTATTGTTAGACATATCCTTCTTAAATACATGATTATTAGTTTGAATACTTAAAAAATATTATAGAACACTGGCATTTCCCTTTTTAATGAAAACCAGTAAGATGACAAAGCAGGTCTTTTAGCCAAATTCCCACAGAAATGGAATTTCATCAAACATATTTTTGTTTGGAAGTGAACTATTTTCTTTTAAAAAATAATCATTGAAGTATTTATAAGTATGCTTTAAATGGACTAGCTCCAATTTTAATCAGGTTGTTGATATTTCACAAAATATGTCCTACTTTGTATAGTAAAAAATAACACTTAAAATGGCAACTGTGTCTGCTATTTTATATATAATACGATATTTTATATATCATAATATATTTTAAGTTCAGTGAGTTTTATTTCAATGATACAGGTATATGTACAGTACTTGGATGCCCTATTATATTAACAGGTACAACGAGGAGTAAGTAAAGCTTGCTTAAAATAATAGTCCATAGCATTAAGCATGTGGTTACTATAAGAGAATGTTACAGTGTATATTAGTGCATTAATGTGTTAGTATATTAATGATTGATATGTTGGTGAATTCCAAATTAATCTCTCTTTAGTTAGATCTAAAATGTGCTACCTAACTCTATTGTTAGGTTCTATACTTTCACTGTATTAATATACTAGTGATAGTTTAAAATTGGTAGCTGGACTATTATATTTAACTTTTCTTTTAAGCTTGTGCTATGGCTCCCTGCTGGCCATAATAAGAATACTTATTGTTAACATTTATTTGCCAAACACTTTTATAACTCCAGAAGCAATCTCTAACATGATTTAATTTGAATTATTTATAGGAAAGTGAAAGAATATCAATTTAAACCTTTACATAAAAATCTACATATTTAGGGAGTAAAAATAACAATAAATTAAGCCTCACCAAAAGACCAATTGATGTTAAACTGATGTTTAGTTCTTGGTTGTGAAGCCCAAAACTTCCAGCAACATCTACTACAATCTGTAGGCAAGTACATGGCATTGTTGGCAAAAAGTCAGTCACAACCAACTGGAGACACTGGAATGCAGTCCGGATTAGAGACTCTCTATTAACAAAATAAATAGTTATTTATAAATAAGAATTATGATACAGGTGGTGCTCAACTTATGATCAGTTGTTTAATGCCCATTTGAATTTACAATGGATTTAAAGAAAGTGATCTGTGACCTATCCTTAAAGTTATAACTCCTGATGCCCCATGGTCACATGATCATATTTGTTTAGTTATTTATTTATTTAAACTTATAAAGGTTGAAAGAAGTGCATGGGTTTGCATTATAATACACTGGCTGAAACTTATTCTTCCCTATAGATTTGAATCATATCCTTATGGTGGATAGCTATAAAACTACTAAGACTATTTCATTAAAACTCCAAAATCTTGGCCTCTTCAAGGAGGAGTTCCTAATAATGGACTGTGAATGTGTATTTAATGCATCTAAACATAGTATTAAAGATCAGGAAATCCAACAGGAGCTGTCCGCTTCACCCAAGAATGTTTTCTTGCGCAGATAAGCCTCTCTTCATAAACCAGTGAACTGTTCCTAAATTTTGGAGGACACTAACTCTAGATGTGACTCTCTGTCCATAGCAGTTCTGGAGGGCCAATACAAAAAAGTTCCATATGAGTTGAGACTGTGTCCCTGTAGACAAGGGGGTCATTAAAACCACGTCCTGCTGTATTGCACCCTCTACAAGATCTCATCTTCAAGGACTCATCTTAACGTCTTAACTGATACAAAAATCTCAATAATTCTGATCCTTTTTATGCACATGTCAACCCTGAAGTGAGCTGACTGAGGCCATCTTGGAGGCTTCAGGGTTGCCACAAGAAAGAAGAAGGGATAGGGAAGGGGGAAATAGATAGCTGGGATTTTATAGTCAAAACAAAAATTTTTCCTGTGGAAAACAAGGACATTCCAATAGGTGGCTGGGGAGAAGAGGATTGGAATAACCATGACGAGCACCTCAATTGGACAATGTGACTAATGACTTGGGGAAAGGGGGGAACTTTTACTTTTTTAATTAAGTGAAAGCCATGGGAACCTTTAGAGTCGGTTTTCACCAGTAATGCCAATATGATGTATCCAATAAATCATTCCTTGAGGAATCTATCTCCCTCGGAATTCTGCTTTCTTTGGGTGAATTACTTGGAATGCTGACAGTACAGCTATTATTGGATCAGTATAATATAGTTTCTTTGATTGTAGTTAGGTTTTGCTATAATGTCTGTAAAATTACACAGACATGGTTACCCATTAATAATTTCACCATCAATTATTAATAAGTTCACCCTCAATTGTAATATATTACTAAGTCCTGTCCTATAGGGGTAAGGTTAAAGCCTAGGGATTTTATTTAATGTATTGGATTGTGTTGGTAGAAATGTCAGCCTCCAATTTTACCATTTTTGGTTTTAGTTATTGGTAGTACCCTACTAGAAGTGTTAAGTATTATAAATAGAATAAATAAATAAAATACACTTACCCTTGATCACTTCTAATTGCTCCCATAACTCCAAGTACCAAGGGCCATCCAGGCCCTAGACTGTCCCCTTGGCTTTGCAAAATCTGTAAAACGCATTCCAATTGCTTGAGTCTAATATCAGGGTGACTGATATTTGACAACTCTTTCAGTGGGTTTAGTAACAACAGCTGAAGCCTCTGGGAAAAAAAAAAGAAATGAAAATATTATTCATTCAAAGAAAGTAACAAAATAACTAGAAATGGAAAGATAGTTACTCTCATCAGTGCCATGCTTGGAAACACCACTTCTAAGTGTAGGAAATATGTTTTCCTCTAGGATTGAAAACAAACAAGTGGAGAAAAGTTACTTACCATACTAATGACTAGACTACACCCAACTTTGTTAACTATTCTATAACTATCAGTTTTATTTAAGGAGACTTTATCATATAAATAGCAATAGGCAGACTTCATACCTCTAAATTATGGAGACGATCCTTTGTAGCTTTAAGACATTTTAAACTCCTCTCATAATATTAATATATAGGGCCACATCTTCTAACATTTGGTAATATCCGGTAACAATATAATCACTAGTGAATTGATGTCATGATATATATTGTATATGCCATAACTTGCTCATTATGCATTTTTATTCCATCTGGGCTGCAATCCTCTGCCAACTAAACTAGGTTTTCTTTGGAAAAGTCATGTACAGGGCTATTTATCAGTGCATCATTATTCAGTCCAATAAACAGATAATTTCCTAGGAAACCCATTGATTAGCAGAACAACATTATAATCAAATAACATGGCATTGTAATTCTAGTTCTACTCTATTTATAACTAAATTGGAATACAATTGCAGAAAACAATTTATACTTCTTACTCAACATCATTATCAATTAAGCTACTAATTGTTTTTTAGCATGCTAATTTACCTGGTTCTGAGAGAGTGAAGGGTCATGGTTAAATGTCAATCCGGCTTTGATGAGAGACGTTAAAGCTTCTGCTCCCCATTCCCTCATCCTTGAGTTTGGATGTTGGCAGACCTACAGTCAGAATGCACATTAATAAATATTCAGCACTCTATGTTGCTTTTCAGTCTATAAAATCATTGAAAGAATGCTAATGTCTATCCTGATCATTATAAACCACTCGGTTTATACATAAGCATAGCAGTTGTTGCATTATTAGCAAGCAAAATGCTTCGTATTTCTTATTTTAAAAAACTATATTAAATATGGAAAATTAAGAGCATATTTACTAGTGGAGTAATAATATCTTTACATGTTTCATATTTTACTACATTCTTTACCCAATTCTGATGATTTGCATGGTTGTAGATTTATGTGTTGTGTCATCCTATCTTATAAAATGCTCATTCTTCTTATATTAAAATTCATCTCTTTGAAATCTGCTTATATTAAAATTTGTATCTTAGAAATGTCAGTTTGGTTTGAAATATTATTTTCCAACATCACAATGTGATAATTCTACATTAGAAAAAGATCAGCTAGTAAATAAGTAAGACATACTTGCAAGGCATGCTTACCTTCTGAATTAAAAAAATTAGGAAGCAATAAAGGAAAAGGGAAAAATATGAATGTAAGGCAAGCAATAAATATTAGAATAACAAAACTACTGTATTTTTCGGAGCATAAAACACACTGCTGTATAAGAAGCACCTTAATATTTAGGGGGGGAAACAAGAAAAAAATAATTCTGCCTCCGTCTATCAGCATTAGGATCAGCGGCATCCTCACTTCAATCGGATTTTGATAACGAGCAGCACAGATCTTTTTATCCATTTAAAACAAACCCTATCAGCCTACAGGCACTTAACTGGAGTGAGTAGGGAGGGGGATGATTTTCATGGGGGCAGAAGTGGGACTTGGCACTGAAGGCTCTGCTCCCGAGACGCCCCCTTCTTCCTACCTATAGCAGTAGATGTTGAAAGCCTGGTTTTCTCACAGCAAGGCCCGATAGAGAAGCAACACTTCAGTCCTCCTGCCATGTCGTAAACATGGTGCCGGGCTTCCCGGCAAGCCCCATGCGCTGCCTCGGTCGGAGCCTGATTCCGCAAGCAGCCCAGGAAGCGTGGAGGTCTGGACGGTTGTGAAGTGGGCTCTGCGCAGGAGGTGTAAGGCAAGGCAGCTAGCAGCTCTGCCTGCCCCTTCTCCAGATGGCCCAGGTGAAGGGCAGTCACCTTCTCCTGGCCCAGGAGGAAAGAGATGAGTGTGCAGAGGAGGAGGGTGGGCGGCTCTACAATGTGCAACGGGGAACCGGGGAGGAAAACATTTTCAAGTGGCAGTGCCGGCTGTATGCCCTGTTTTTGGATTTGGGAAGGGGATCGCAGCCCTGCCCCCTGAAAATATTTTCCTCCCCGATTTGGGCGGAGGCCAAAAAAGTGGCTAACTGCCTGAAAAACACCATTCCAGGCGACGGGGATTGCCAAAAACAGGCATCACTTTTTCGGTCTCCACACGCCGAAACCATTGCTCCCACGTTTTCATGAGGGCAAGCAGCTCCGTGAATTGCATCGGGGAATTGGGCCAATGGACTGCAGTGACTGGAGAGGGAGACATTTCGCTTTCGGGGCTTCCGCTCCACTCGGCTCCCGGGTGCCAAGAGGGGTTAGGCAGTGGCAGCGGCGGCTCCTCACATTGCTGGGGAGTGAAGTCAGCATGGCCATTGTCTCCCCTGAGCTGCCCTCTCACTTGCAGGAGGAGGAGGAGGGTGGCATAAAGCAACGGCATCTTAAACCAAAGCCTCTGAGTAATTGGGAAAGAAAGTCACACTTTTTGGGTGGCAGTTTTTGGCAGGTTCCAAGTGCGGCTTTCTTTCCCAGTTACTCAGAGGCATTGGTTTAAAGTAGCTCTCCTTTCTAGTCACCGCCGCCCATTGGCCTGATTCTCCGATGCAATTCGTGGAGCCACTTGCCCTCATGAAAACGTGGGGGCAGAGGTTTCAGTGTGCAGAGACCGAAAAAGCGATGCTCATTTTTGGCAATCCTCGTCACCTGGAATGGTGTTTTTCAGGCAGTTAGCCATTTTTTTGGCCTCTGCCCAATGGGGCGTATAGCTGGCACTGCCACCTGAAAATGTTTTCCTCCCCGGTTCCCCGTTGCTCATCACAGAGCCGTGTACCCTCCTTCTCCTTCTCCGCAGACTCACCTCTTTCCTCCTCGGCCAGGAGAAGCTGACTGTCATCTGGAGACGGGGTAGGGAGAGCTGCTAGCCGCCTTACCTTAGCACCTCCTGTGCAGCACCCACTTTGCCAACCGAGTCCCAATCTCCATGCTTCCCCAGGCCGCTTGGGGTCCAGTGGGTGGATAGGAGGGCCTACCTTCGGACTATAAGAAGCATCCAGATTTTCACCCTCTTTTTGGGGGGAAAAAGGTGCGTCTTATACTCTGAAAAATACTGTAAGCTTTATATCATTATAGATCTGATGCATAACATTTCCAGAAGTAATATAATGGCTGAAATGTCAGCCCTATCTGGAAAGATTTGAATTGAAATATTGGTTCAGTTGTGTTGCAATGACTTGTCATAGCTGCCAAGTCTAACCTATTTCCCAGATTTGTTCAATAATGAAACTGGGGAATATTATCAGCATATAAATACTAAATAACAATACAAAATATTGGTGTAGCATTGTAGTTTAAAATATGGAACTAACCTATTTTTCAAACTGAATTCTACTACTCCCCCACTTCCTGAGCTTGCCAGCCTAGAAGTAAATCATTTTAATGATATATCAATGCAAAAAATATAATTTTTCTACTAATTTTATGAAGAGAAAAATGCATAGTAAAAATTAAAAAAAAATCTGACAATGAGGTGTGGAACATCTATATATTTCAATGTCGTTACTGCTATTATGTCTCCTAACTAGCAATGTTGGCTTGAACTGAAATTTAGCAATATTGAAGGGCTACCTGGATTTCCACATCTTCTAAGCAGAATCACTGCATTTCTGATCAATATGAATTTGTAAATTTTCAAGAATTAATATTGAATATCATACTTGCAGCACCCCAAATCTTGATAATATTTCTAGCTATAGAACTTTTGGGGTTCTGTAAATCCTTTGAATGATATGTATTACAACAAGCAGAAGGAACTACAAAGTAGCACTCTTTGCATCAATTAAGCAGCTGCACATTTTTCCAAGGCAACATAGCTGCTTTTGGAATCTGGTTTCAGTTGTATCTGCAGGGATTAAGCACTTCTCTTTGGCAGAAAAGAAAAGCACATCTATTTTGAAAGATTAGTACTCCTTAAGCATATTTATTAAAAACATATAGTTTCTAATATAAAATTAATAATTTTATGTAAAGCAAAACAATTCAGCTTTAGCAATTTTTCTGAGGTAAGAAGCATAATCAGCACATTTACACAAAATACCCTATTGTAGGTAGCTAAAACATTAGATTGTATATAATCTAAGAATATCTATTCTGCTTTTCAGTGAAGGCATAATTATAATTTTAATTTGCAATATAGTATTTTGGGCAGCATTATCCTGATTTAAATTATATACAATAATAACAGCCCAACTGACAATCATATTACTTTTTACCATATAGTTGTGAAATTTCTGGCATATTAAGTGTTTTATCTGGAAGGGATTTGGGATTATCAATAAAGGCACATATTAACAAGCTATTTAATACACCAATATTTAAAAAACCCACCTGGTTAATATTTGGATGGGAGATGACAAAAAAAAAATCTCAAGCTAGATTAGAATGTTAGAAAAAACCCATTTTGTTTTGTTCCTTATTTTAAAGAAGAAGAAAATTTTATCGTTCCATACTGCTGCCAAAAAACCTACAATGAATACATCAATTGTTTTATCTGCTAGTACAAAACTTTATGGTTTATTTATTTATAAGTTATGACTATATAAGAAAAGGTGCATTCTCTGAAACAATTATGGTGGTCATGTGGGAAAAACGTGACTTTCTCCTCATCTGATACTTTCCCAACCCACACAGGTACAGAATTCACACAGTACACATTAAGCAGGGAATTGGAGGATTCAATAGTCTAATTAGCCTTTCTAATTCCATGACTCTACAGTTAATGGGGAACAAAACAGAATAGAAACAGGAAAGAAACTAATATTAAGCATTACTTGTTTCTTATTCTTATGCTTTAATTAGTCTTAATTAAAAGGAGAAAATACTAAGATTTTTCAAACATAAAAACTGATAGAAGATTGTAAAATGATTCATTACCTCTAAAAGATGACCAGTCAGTGGTCTCCACATAATTTCAATCCTATGCATGTTAACCAGTCCTGTTTCTAACAATTTAGCAACAGCGAACAATGATGGTTCCTAAATGCAAATGGTATTTAAAATGATTTCATTCACCAGATCAAACATTAAGTTACTATATTGAAGAACAGTGATGTAAAGTGTTCTCTTCAAGGTTTGTTGATATAGAAGTTTAATTTTTAGTTGTGAATTATAATCCTTTATCCAATATGATAAAATCCATACTGTATATCAACTATCCATATGAAGTTCAAATATATATTTGTTAGAGTATATAGGCTGGATCAGTTTCACACAAACTTTTAAAGTACCTACTATACACACATCAATTCATTTGCTTTTTAGTTTGATAAATCCCCTCACGATGAGGAGATTGAAGTATTCTTATTAAATGCCCAATACCCATACAATTCATAGGCAGTATATATATATATTATTTATACCCCTTGGTGCCTTCAATGAAATGTTAACTTTATAGTTTCTTCTTTTTATATATGTATGCACTATATATATTTACTTATGCATGCATTAATGGTGTGCTGTATTTTTAAATTCTGTGACGGTGTTGGACCATATGAAGTGTATGGTTGTAAGCCTACAACCATACATACATACATGCATATTTTTGGAATTCACTGATCAGAACTTAGTTTAATAAATTAAGTTTTGCACAAAAGGTTTCCTGTGGTCTTTATTTTTTCCTTTTCTGCCACAAAGACAGTGGTTACAAATTGTGTAACAAACTAGGATTATAAATCAATTTCCAGCTTTAATTTATTAACTTTTCCCATTCTGTTTATAATTGCTTCTATATTTGAACTAAATGTATAATTATGAACAATTGTACTTAATTAAGGAATACCAAGAGTTGAGTATAGGGGCAAAAGACTAAAATGGGTATGTAAGTTCATTAATATGCAATGTTACATAAAATCTGTTTTATTGCTAATGCATGCTGAATAATTGAGAAAGCCAAAGAATACCAATAAAAGTCACTATATGCTTCATAGAAAAGCCACTGATCTTGTTCATCATGTCAGGCTGTGGAATATGCTTAGAAAAATGGGAATCCCAGAAAACTGCTTTGTCATCTTGTAAAACCCATATACAAAGGAAGTCATAATATGGACTGAACATGTGTATGGTGAAATTGACTGTCTTCAGGTTGGCAAACTACTCAGACAAGATTGTATATTTTCCACTTTTATATTTAAACAATTTGCTGAAATATATATTAAGGGAAGATACATTTGAAGAAATAGAGTGTGCTTTAAAAACTGGAGAAGAAACATCTATAGTTGTGGGTTCTATCTACAAAGGAGTTACATCTCCTTTGCAATGGGCCTTTTCTGCCATGGAAAAGAACATCATTTCTTCCCTATAATGGGATCTACTATTTTCATTCCATCCTTCCCGAAATCCTGCAAAATTTGGCAGTGTCAACAAGCCTATAGACTCAAGGGAATGGTGGTTTCCATATCTCCATGTCTAATGTTCTTCCTTAGGGTTTTTAATGTTTTTAATGGCATTCTATTTTACCATTGCTATTTTATGGTTTTATTGTATGCCACCCAAAGTTACATTCTGTAAGATGAGAGGCATATAAATAATGTTTCTGAATATATAATATATAAATATAACCTGTACTATGCAGATGGCACTACTCTGATAGCCAAAAATGCATAGGATCAACATGCTGTGAAAAAAAGTGAAAGAACACAGTGAAAATTGGGACTAGAATTAAATATAAAGATCAACCTCATGACAACATGTACAACAAGAGCCTTAAAACTGACAATGAAGATACTGAAGTGGTAAACAGCTTCAGTCTTTTGGGATCCACCATCAACATGAAAAAACAGTCAAGATATACATAATGGACTAGCACTTAGTAAAGCAGTCGTGAAGACCTTGTTCAGATGCTGTTATATACCTACACTTATAAAGATCAGAATAATGCAAGCCATGGTACTCCATGTGATGCTGTATGGAAACAAAAGTTTGGCTTTGAAGCAGCAAAATAGAAAAAGTACTGATGCTTTTGAACTTCGGTGTTGAAGAAGATTCATGAGAATACCATGGCCAACCAAGAAAACAATGAATAATCACATAAATCACCTCAAAGTTTTATCCCAAAGCACAAATCACCAGGATCAAATTATCCTACTTTGACACATTATACAAAGACTTAGCTCTCTAGAGAAGGCTATAATGCTGGGAAAGAGAAGAGGCTGACCAGCAGCAAGATGGAAGGCCTCAGTGGGGATGGTTGCACTGTTCGAAAACCTGAAGGACCAGATTAGGGACAGATGATCACGCAGAAAAACTATGTGGTTGATAAAAGTCAACACCAATTTGATGACACATAATTAATAGCAAATTGATTTTTGGGCTATAAGGACCATATGAGATAATTGATATAAATCATGTTTATATAATTCATGTTCATGTAAATAATATGTAAATTTAACTGAATGAAGCTGGTTAATTTATATAAGAAACTTAAACATATTGTACCTTATTATTTCCATAGGCCATATCCATGGCTTCCAGAGACAATGAACAAAGTGCATTTATTAAATGATGTAAGGAAACATCATCCAGATATCTGTGGGAAAGGAATGAAGGAGAGAAATCAAGTATTAAAACTATTTCAAAATGAATAAGAAAAAAGAACCCCAAAGTGGAGCTGTCTGCAACAAATAAATCTGGTTAAAATGATAAAAAGAGATATAATAGATAGAGACAGAGTTTTAGAACTGTGTATTTAAAAAATTGTTTACAAAGACATTTTCTTACTGTGAACTTTCAAAAAGTCTGGAAAGAATGTTCGAGATAACTGGCAAATCAGTCATAACAGCTGTAGTTAGAACCTAAAAGAAATAATTGCAAGATTGGTAAATGTATAGTAAAAACATTGTCACTGTTCTATTCAATAAAGTAATATATATATCTTACTGTGCTAGGTCCTTCTACAGCTCTTCCAGGCTTTAAAGCACCTCCAATGCCTGGTTTCAAACCAAGAATCCATACAAGATGCTAAAATGCCAAAAAACAAAACAAAAACTCAACTTTGAAATACATTTGTAAAATATTTAAGAACGTAAGTATGTTCTTCTGTGACAAAGTGTGTGAAGTTCTTATCACAATTTAAAAGCTTAGACAAAATAGCAAAAGATCATTATAGCTCTGTATAACCAGTATATCCATGCTGTTGATAGGTGATTAGAACATGTGGTTTCCTACATGGTGGGATGATCATATTTGGATACCCAAAGTCAAGGTGATTTGACATATAACAATAGCAGTCTGGGAAATTGAATAGATCTGATTTTTAGCATAGTAGAAATTTCACTGCTCAACCACTGAAAATGATACATCTATTTTTATTAAAAATTAAAAATTCACCTGGAGTGTAGCTAAGACAAGTTGCCATGATGTACCAAGGACGGCTCCATGACAATGAGCCAAGCTAAGTAACGTCCTCATGCACTGTATATTCTTAGATGTAAGCTAAAAAAAAATTTTTTTTAAACAGTTAGCATTTTATAGATGTAAGCTAAAAGTGTTTTATAAGTGAAAAACTGTTTTAACAATATTAATGAAAAATATAATCATTCCAAAAATACTCACTATATACCAATTTACTCTTAGATTTCTCTATAACTGAGGCTTATGGGTAAGGGATATTTTACAGTGAATTTCAGTGACAACATCTGACATAATCCTTAAATCCTTATGGCAGAGGGAAGCGGTTTAATTTGATCAAATATTCAAATATTTTACTTTACAAACAAATATTAGTACAAGCTGGTACACATAAAACCGAAGCAGAAAAGAGAGAACCCAAAATAGACATGCTTCTTTTGATACAACAGTATTTAAGGTCTTTTCCACACAGACTTTTTCATCTCTGAGAGTGACTGGGCTGCTTGGTGGAGGAATTCTGTCCTGCGCAGGGTAAAATCAATTTGGCCCGTCATTCTTCCATTCTCTTTGAGAATGGGTCCCCATGGATCTTTTTCAGCCAGAGAAAGTCCTGTCAGCAGGCGGCAGCGGCTTGTAGCCTTCTTTACTGACTTCCCTTTGGGCTCTCTGAAGAAGCTAGCAGGGAAGATTTCAAATGACGATCACATTTGCATTGGCAAACCATTGTAAGTAAGAATGAGTTGCCAAGAACCCAGATCGCAATCATGTGACCATAGGAGCTCTGCAATGGCTTTGGACATAGTCACAAATTCCTTTTTTCAGAACTGTCATTTTGAATGGTTGCTGAATGAACAGTCATAAAGTGAGGACAACCTGTAGGGTTCTCCTGCAATTAGTATTTGAAACATATACAGAAATATATATATATATATATAGGCTCGTCATTAGGCTCGTCACAAGAGTCCATCCAGACTATATATAGTCTGGATGGACTCTTGTGACGAGCCTAATGACAGAGAGTGGAAGTGTGACCTTCCTCCCACATTTGGGCATACCAGGGGTTGTGACTTTATGTATATACCTCCCACCCTGGCTGGCTGATAAAAGGAGTCGTTCTCTGTAGCTCAAATGGTTAACTCCCTGCCTGGGAGGCAATAGAGCAATAGAGCAATAGAGCAATAGAGCAATAGAGCAAAGGTTCGAATCCCAGTAAGGATATGGCTAGCTGATGAGAGCTAAATAGCTTGAAATAGATCTATACTAGTCTTCCTTTATTTATTTATTTATCAGCACAAATAAAAACACAAATATAACAAAGGCAACAGTAAAAA